CTAAAATATTGCAAGAGCGAATTTATAAACTCATTTAGTACATTTACGGGTAATAAACAAACTTCTACTAACTACATGTAACAAAATATGCGACATCTACATAAGCAAGTGTCAATAAATTGCTACGGTGAAAAAGGGTTAACTTTTGTATTGATGGCCAACTAAAAGAAATGATCAAAAAAATTTCATCATCAACTTTCTCTTTGTTTCATTTTCACTCGCCTTCCATAACCCTTTCTTTATTTTTTTCTCTGCCTTCTTGGTCTAACCCTAATTAGTATACTATTTTTATGTACTCTAATCACAAGTATGAACGGGTCGTTACACAACTCACCAACAGTCTAGAGCAATGTTGTCAGAACCGAGCCGGAGCATGACCCGATAATGCGAACGGCTCGCACTTTAGTGGTCCAACCGGCATTAGACCATTTAAAAACCGTTAGAGAATCGATACCTAATAAGCTTTATCAGTATAAATAGTGGACATTTCTTAATAGAGCTTATCTCTTTCCTTTGAAATTGTGAAATGGAAATAAGGATTCAATTTGAGAGCCCGACGTTTTTGGTTTATTTCAATTTTCTACAATTTTTTTAATTAAATTTAGTGGCTGAATGGCAAAAACCGGATGAGCGGCTCGATCGGCTCAAACGGTTAGCCGCCTCGGCCGCTACATAAAACCAGAGTGGCTTTTAGACTGTTCCAAGCCGGTTTTGTGACCGGGTGGCGGTTTTACCGGTCGGGCCGAGCGGCTCGGCTCGGCTCGGCTTTAATAACACTAGTCTAGAGAACTAATAATTGAACCATGACCCACTAACTTTTTTAGCTCAATGTCGAGTCCAATTAAATATATATATGGTGGCTACTTCGGTGCACTCACTTTTTTGGGTGCACTCAGTGCACCCAACTCTAAAAGCGTCAATAATACATCAAATTTTGAACTTTAATTAGTACTCTCAATATAATATGATGATATGACATAGAATCATAACAAATCAATCCATTACCCTAATCCCTTAACCTTCAATTTTGAATCCCAACCCAAAATCCCAAATTGTAAACCTAAACCCTAACCCTAAATCCCTAAATCCTAAATCCTTCAAATTAAAGTAAATTTTGAATGATTTTTTTTAAAATTCATGTGCTTCTTTTTCATAATATCATAAGTAACTTTTGATACCGTTTTGACATGAATCGCATGGTCAGAATGACAATTATGAGGCGGGTGCACTGAGTGCACCCGAAAAAGTGGGTGCACCGAATACGCCACCATATATATATATATATATGGTGGCGTCTTCGGTGCACTCACTTTTTTGGGTGCATTCAGTGCACTCACTTCATAACCGTCATTTTAAACATGCGATTTATGTCAAAATGATGTCATGTCATTCATCACTTATGATGTGATGAACAATTACGCACATGAATTTGCACAAAAACCATTGAAGATTTACTTTAATTTGAAGGATTTAGAGTTGAGAGATTTAGGGTTAGGGTTAGGGTTTACAATTTGGGGTTTAGGGATAGAACTCAAAATTGGAGGTCTAGGGCTTAGGGTAATCCACTAATTAGTTGTTATCATCTCTTATATAATCATATTACACTAATTCTACAAATTAAAATTCAAAATCCGACACCTTAAGACTAGTTTTTGAGTTGGATGCATTGAGCGCACTCATTTTTGTGAGTGCACCGAAGTAGTCACCTATATATATATATATATGGCAAAGGCTAGCGTACGGACGTACGCTAGCCTACCGTACGCCCCATTGAGTTTTGCTATTTAGACAAAGAATTAATCGGAGTTTGGGACATGATACTATACCCTAACCCCTAATGGGTGGATCCCAGTCCCCAATTCACTAACCCAAAGCATGAGATTCGTTTAATCTTAAAAATGAAAATCAACGATTCTGATTCGTCGAAATTTTCATTGGTTTTCATTTTAAGATTAAACGAACCTCATGGTTTGGGTTAGAAAATTAGGGACTGGGGTTCACCCATTAGAGGTTAGGGTATAGTATCATGCCCCAAACTCCGATTAATTCATGATCTATATAGCAAAACTCAATGGGGCGTACGCTAGGTTAGCGTACGCCCGGGCGTACGCTAGCCTGATATGGTGCCTTCTACGGTACCCCGGGTGAAATCCGGGGTACCGCATACCTTGAGTATGAAAATGTTATCTAGACTTCAAATTAGCAGGATTTTTGGGCATGATATTATACTCTAACCCTTAATGAGTGAACCCTAAGTCCTAATTATCTAAATCATAATCTATAAACCCTAAGATGGTGCATTGTTTTTTGTGCCTATATTTGGACGAATCATAATCGTCGATTATTATTTCTAATTAAATTGATTTTGGAGTATAAGATTTGGAGAATTAAGACCTAGATTTGATCTTTAAGTGTTAGAGTATAGTATCATGTCCGAAAGATCGGTCAATTCAAGGTCTAGATAGTGTTTTCATACTCAAGGTATGCGGTGCCCCGGATTTTACCCAGGGTACCGTAGAACTCGCCATATATATATATATATATATATGGTTCAGGCTATTGTACGCCCGGGTGTACGCTAGGTTAGCGTACGCCCCATTGAGTTTTGCTATATTGATCATGAATTAACCGGAGTTTGGGGCATGATACTATACCCTAACCTCTAATGGGTAAACCCCAGTCCCTAATTTTCTAACCCAAACCATGAGATTCGTTTAATCTCAAAATGAAAATCAATGAAAATTTCGACGAATCAGGATCGTTGATTTTCATTTTTAAGATTAAACGAATCCCATGCTTTGGGTTAGTGAATTGTGGACTGGGATTCACCCATTAGGGGTTAGGATATAGTATCATGTCCCAAACTCCGATTAATTCTTTGTCTAAGTAGCAAAACTCAATGGGGCGTACGGTAGGCTAGCGTACGCCCGAACGTTCTCTAGCCTTTGCCATATATATATATATATATATATATATATATATATATATATATATATATATATATATATATATATATGGTGCCTTCTACGGTACCCCGGGTGAAATCTAGGGTACCGCATACCTTGAGTATGAAAATGCTATCTAGACCTCAAATTAGCAGGATTTTTGGACCTAATACTATACCCTAACCCTTAATGAGTAAACCCTAGTTCCTAATTATCTAAATTATAAACTATAAACCCTGAGATGGTGCATTCTTTTTTGGGCTTATTTGGACGAATCATAACCGTCGATTATTATTCTAATTAAATTGATCTTGGAGTATTATATTTAGACAACTAAGACCTAGATTTTGATCTTTAAGGGTTAGAGTATAGTATTATGTTTGAGAGATCAGTCAATTAATGGTCTGAATAGCGTTTTCATACTCAGGGTATGTGGTACCCTGAATTTCACCCTGGGTACCGTAGAACTCCACACACACACACACATATATATATATATGGTTATTAATTATTATAAATTTGTTACTTTCCACTATGAGATTTTAATGCGTGAAATTTTAAGCGAGTTGCTTCTCTCTAGGGTTGTTCTTTTACATTCGGGCTAGAATTTTCAACAATTATACATGGAATATTTGCTAGGTATCTACAGACTACACATATCAAATAAAAATCTTTTATTTTCTATATAGAACTAAATAATTATCATCTTAAATACATCACCATAAAAGGAATAAAGCCTCAACTATGCAAATTACAGTTTTGTACCTAAACTTAATAGATCTTTAGATTTATAACCTTAATTTATTTTGTTGGCATATAAGTACTCAAAATATTGATGGAACATTACATTTTAGTATCTAAATTTTTTGTGTATTACATTTTGGTACCTAAACTTTTGAAGTTCTATTAATAGGTCTAATTTTTGTATGTATAATTAAACACCCTGGATAAAAGGGTATACATACCCAACTCATACACATTTAGATTATGGAAGTACATATTCATACCCTACCCAAACCCATCTACAAATGTCCAAACCCATATATGCGTAACGCATTCCCTACCAATAATTAATGGGTCTATTTGAGTTTAGGTAAATATCATTTACTAGCCAAAATTTTCAAAAAAAATTAAATTGTTGTTGACCGTCATATATCTCTTCTCAGTCAATATCATATTGCCAAGTCAATATAAATAACAAAACTGCTAACAAAAAATTAATTTTAGGCTAATAATACTAACAAAATATCATAACGAGTCACATAATACATGTCCATAAGCCATCTCCGCCTCGCGACATGTCGCGGCATCGCCACCTAATTTGTCTTAAGATAGAAGTTTTCTGCCAAGTATGATTTTATATAATCTGAATTCTTTATTCTATGGGATGGTTAATGGTTTGAAACGGGGCCAGACAGGTTTCATCCGCCTCGTGCGAGGCGAGTTCGGGGTGAAAATTTCTAAACCATTTTTGCAGGACAGGGCGCAGATTTAGTACTATATATCCACCCCAAACTCGACCTGTTATCTTTCCTACTATGAGATGATGCATGGTACGTATCTTTTTGACTATTACTACATATTCTTTCGAAACAACTACACACTCGCTACACTACAACAAAACTGCTGTTTAGCGACGGTTTTTCCAACAGTTAGTGACGGTCACAACCGTCGCTAAAACATTTATCGACGGCCAACAGACCGTCGCTGACTCAGCAGTCCTTAAATAATTTACCGACAATTTTGGTCGACCGTCGTATACACCGTCGTCATATTTAACGACGACCAAAACCGCCGTTAAAGTGAAGAAAAATTGTCGCCAAACTGATCATTCACAAAAGTATCTTCACATTTAGCAACACTCAAGAACGTCGCTAAAGGTAATCGACCGTCGCTAAATTTCCAGGATTTTTCTAGTAGAAACCTGCTCTAATAATTACCTTTTGCCTGGGTAACTTTTCCAAATATGAATGTTTAACAATTTAAACTACAAAAACCAATCTGATTTAAAGACTTTATATTAGTCTCTCAAAATTTGATAATAAACCCATCAATCCTCAACACAAAAATCTCCCAATCAGCATTCGAATACTACCAAATCAGCATTCTAAAGTATAACAAGCTAGCAAATGGTCATAACTCCTCTTAGCTCCTTAATACTACCAAATCCAGTCATCCTTGAAGCAAAAAAAAAAAAAAAAAACTCCAGCACTACAAGGAACAAAAAGAATCAAATTAAAGACCACATTAGATCCTATTAATAATATTTATGAAACCACAAACAACACTTCACACCTTTTCATCTGTAGTAGATCAACTTCCTTCATTAACTGGAAGCTCTACAGAAACAACATAAATAAATAAAAAAGTAATAGTGAAGATTCCATATAACCACAAACAGCAACTTGTACAAGTAATATTGGTGACTGTTAATTACTAACCATCAGACCCTTAGGCTGTGGTCTACCTCCATCACTTCAATGCTAGCTCAGGAGAAAATTATAAGCATTTAAGATTCAACCATATATAACCATTTTCACACAAGTCAAGAGTATTAGAGTGTCAACTCCATATCTCCATCTGCATAGATAGTCAGGATTATATCAGTTTATGGGTGAAACTAGGAAGAAACCTTGAGGCAAGTTCACACACTAACATGAGTAAAGACAAACAGTACCTTCATGCCAAAATCAATAGCCCCTCTTTTTGCATCCCCTGTTGCCAAAACCAGAAGCTCCTCCCTATTGCATCCCCTGTTGTCAAAACTCATTCACCAAAAGATATTAAATTCATCAATACAAGAAAAGAGAGAAAAGTACGAAGCAGATCCGTCCCGAAAACTATGCATTCAGAATATTGAATAGAGAAAAACAATATAACATACAAAGACAACTCGGATCTCTTACCCTTTGGCGGATATTGGGTTTTCAACAAGGACCAACTTCAACTTATTGAAACTCCTCTTCTTGAAATGCAGCAAAAGTGTGTCAGCACCAATTATTTGTCAGAAGCATAAGAACAATGCGAAGCTAGATCACGGAGCTGCTTCTATTGACCCAATTTCCTATTCTTTTCACAGACAATATCATGTTATAGTTATTACCACTCCTTATCATGTAATCAAATTTACTCTTCAGATTGTTCTCGCCACAGACCTAAACCCACAGAATTATATTCTACAATGGAGAGCAACAACATAGATAAAGAGTACATTTGACAAACTGGGAAAAAAAACATACCGTTTCTCCATTTCAGAAGTACCAAAACTAGTCAATTATCTAGAGGTAAAGTTAACACAAGGGATTACCGTTCACTAATACTAGTATACTACGTCATATTATATACGTTAAGAACATACGTTAGCAGTTGGCTAGAACCTCATGCTGAAGAGGCAAATAAGATAATGCTACTACGCATTAATGAAGCCTTTTTCATGATATGTAGGGCAAATAAAAGAAAACTTACTAGTCTTTTTCCCCCCTTGCTGCTGCAAGTGAACCAGCAGCACCAATTCCTTCAGCATATAAATGCTTACTACTTATATTGTTAATCAACAAACCCGCTACCACCAATTCCCTCAGCATTAGACTCAATTAATGCTGCAAAGCGAGTATAAACTGCTCGTTAATCTGCAGCATTCTTCAGAGAAAACAAGCTGAATTTCACGAGTGCAATGTGCTATCATAGAATGTAAACCAGAATTTTGCTACTAGAAGAAGAATACCGGGAATTGCGCCATATTCAAATGAGGAAAGGGGGATCATTAGTGGCTCCTAGTTTCAAAAGACACAGTCATAAGCCCTGTTAATTAATAGATTAATCCCATAATTAGTAGTGTGATCCTACAAGAAGACTGTTAATTGCAAGATGGAAAGTAGGAGACCAATAGTTCGAGGGTATGTTGGGGTGATAAGATATTTTGATTGAGCTGGGAATCATAGTTCACATGACAACATTGACAAATTGTTTAAGTTCAGTTCCAATAAGGGTTGTCATGCACATTTCCAAAATTTTCTGTGTTAGGGGAAGAATGAATAGTAATTAACAGGTTAACCAACAATCAAAACAAAAAAAAAAATAAAAACTTGGTTAACCAAGTTTTGTCCCCCACACAGGACAAGTATACAAACAGCTTTTGGATTGTCTACTTCATATGTAATCATATATACAACTAACAGCATAGGAAAAAGAAAAATATAAGTAGGTATACATCACAGAGATACAGCCCTCCCATGGCCGAAGCTGATACAAAAGTTTCCTTGATTACTTTCATCCTTAATTAGTTCTTCCTTTAATCACTAAACTGAGAGCATTTTCCGTAGGTTAACATTCATCAGAAGCGGAAGGTAATTCAGTTTACCTTCATGTCTTGCCATGAAGCAGAGGAGGCAATATGTGATAGGCGAAGAACTTCTAAACTTCCTAACAGATGAAGATTTTGGTGATTCCAAGCAAAAACTGAACGAAATTTAGAGAAAACATCAGGGCAGAAGGTTTTAGATGTGAATATTATAGAGGAAAGGTTGAAATAGAATAACGATAACTTACGAAATAAGTATGATGGAAATGTGATTACCTGATAACCATGTGAAAGATGGCCACCATGAGGAAGATAAAGAGCCATTAGTCTGTTTTGAGGTTTCACCAAGGCAGTGACCTGATAGAGGCTTCACATTGACTACAACATGGAAGGGGAGAATGAAGTAACAAACATTGATAACATAAGTTGATTGCAAAACTCAATTGATTGAGCATTTGCCATACGGATTAAAGATACAACTCATGTCCATTTATGATCTCAAGGAGTTCATACTGATTAACTTTCAAACAAGCTAGCATCAAAATCAACTCAAATATTGTTGTAAATGCCGAATGAGCAAAGCAATAAATGTACCTTCCACTGACGAGCTTTTTCATTCTCAATAATATCAGCAATCTCAGAATCCACTACTTCTAGCATGCACTGAGCTGCTTCGCCACTGCAGAGCAAGGGGAAAACAGAAAACAAAGTAAATCAAGAGAATACGGGGTTAGTTGATGAATCCAATCACCAAATGGAAGTATCAAAAGCAATTTAAAATAGCTGGAGGCTTAGGTGAGGTCGGGCTTCCGGTTCTCATAATCACCTTCATTAGGCAAGATTAAACGAGAGGTGTGTTCTAATTCTACAATTTGCAATTGAAATGTAGAAAACCCAAGATTTAACGACGGCCGGTGGACGGGCAAAATTTGCCGTCAAAACCTACACATTTAGCGACACCCGTGATGAGCGTCACCATAAAAATGTCAGGAAGTCTATGTTTTCTTGTAGTGCTAGCTCTCTACATTCTAATCTCCACTTCCTGGCCACCTTTTTTTACTTTCCTTCCCATGATCAAAGGTGCGTGCATGCGTGGAATTAGCTCCCATATATTAAACAGTGAAGCTAAGCCGTTCAACGTAAGAGAGGTAGCAATAATCATGGCATATATGACGGATTTTGTTGGGGGAAGGGAGGACGAATGAAGCATCTTTGGAAATTATTTGATCGGCGCACTTGCCCCATTGAACGAGTGAAAATGGAAAACGTACAACATCGATCGATTTTCCACAACACTTAATTTCCCCGTCAAACTTAATCGCTTAACTCTCTGGTACCACCATTTGCCATGACCCTAGAGCCTATAGGTTGGCCATTCAAATGGTACACCATCGATTTTCCACAACACTTAACTTCATTGTGTGAACAGATATACACAACATCATGCTAGTTATGAGTTGTAGTAGTACAATCATAATTGTAGACTTGTAGTAGCTAGTTATTTTTGTAGTAATAGTTAGTGATGTAGTTAGAATTTTATTCAAGAGGGTGCATTAAAAGAATTTTTGAATAATGATCATTCATGACGCGATAGCATGCTAGCTTGATATTATGAAATCATTCTAGAGCTATATAATTGTCCAGACTATCAAACTTTCGCTCTTAATGGTATCAAACCAAATAATTTTACAATTTCGTTTCATTCAACCAAAGTTGTCAATCTTTTCACTACAAAAAATATAATATCAACATGTGCATTGACAAAAGGTAGTAACAAATTAAAATAGTTTCAAAAGCAAATACATTAATGAGAAACCGTTTTCTCGTCTAAAGACTATCGTTATCATAGAAAATTAAATGATTTCCTCTAATAATCTGCACCCTCTTATCATGTTTGATAAACTAGAGTGTATTAACCTAGAAATTTGTAGGTAAAATTAATTTGCATAATTGATTGTGATTGTATGATAAAAATTTGGCAATCAACATTGACATTTGCTGTTCAAATTTCATTGTTATCACTATTAAATTTGGGTATGTTTCTCCAAATAAGGGGTGCCATGAAACCCCTTCTAGCTCTTCCCCGGGTTGTAGTCATTACAAATTTAGTCTACTGGGAATCATGATTAGTATGATACTGATGATCCCTTATAGGATTAGCACAGTATCGGATCCTGAGATACCTATCCAAAAAGCTACAATTGCTAAATAAATGCATTGTTATGAAAATATGTATATTATTATAAGGCTCAGACTCGTGTGCTCCTGAAGTATACTATGAATTAAACTGATTTGGGGTATGATACTATACCCTAACCTCAAATGGATAAACCACAAACCCCGATTTTCTGATCCCAAACCCAAAGTTCAATTTAAGAGAAAAAAAGAGTTGACGGTTGAGATTGGTCGCAGCTAATCCATGTAAATCTAACGGTCAGATCATTTGGAGCATACTAGCCGTCTCTATTATTATGGGTCAGACTCGTGTGCTCCTGGAGCATACTATGCTCCATGTACTAATAATGAGATATCTCTATCTAGACCATGAATTAAACAGAGTTTGGGATATGACACCCTAACATTGATGTTGCTTTGCAAAATACAACATCAGGTATGTGTGATTGCATATTTCACACCAGTTAAAAACTGATACATACAATAACTCATTTTTAATGATAGTTTACGTCAAATCACAAAAATAATAGTACCCGATGCATTCTATATTATAGAGTATAATAACAATCTTAAAAACACAATGGCAACTTTCAAACAATCCTGTAGTTTTACTTTTACAAATTTTACCAAAGGAATAAGAAATTCTCCGTTGAAAATGGTAACTTCCACATTAATTGTGGGCGGAAAAAAACACAGTAGTATTAGTCTGCTTTTACCAAACGAAAAAAAAAAACCTATCTCCCTCTCAGTCTCATCACTCCCCCACGGCTATAAATTTCCAAGCTAGGGCATCCTCCCTTTCTCACCTTCCCAACTCTTCTTCTTCTTCTTCTTCTTCTTCTTCCCATAGCCAAACCCACTACTAAAACCATCATCATGGCCACTTCTCCATCCCTTGCCTCCATCCTCCTCGCCATCACCATCACATTGGGATCCTTAACCTTCCCTTCAACCGCCCAAAACTCCCAGCAAGACTACGTCAACGCCCACAACGCCGCCCGATCCGCCGTCGGTGTCGGCCCCGTAACCTGGGACGCCAGGCTGGCAACCTACGCCCAGTCCTACGCCAACAAGCGCGCCGCGGCGGACTGCCGCCTCGTCCACTCAGGCGGGCCCTACGGCGAGAACCTCGCCTGGAGCAGCGGCGACCTCTCCGGCGCCGCCGCGGTGGCGATGTGGGTCGGCGAGAGGGCCGACTACAACTACAACGCCAACAGCTGCGCCGCCGGGAAGCAGTGCGGGCACTACACTCAGGTGGTGTGGAGGAGGACTACTAGCATCGGGTGCGCCAGGGTCAAGTGTCGCGACGGCAGGGCTACTTTCGTCATTTGCAGCTACAACCCGCCGGGGAACTACGTCGGCCAGAAACCCTACTAGCTAGGTCGATATGTTGAAAGACGGCGGGATTGAATCTTGCCGCTGAATATAAATATAGAAGGCTGTGTATTGAATGATGCATCTTAGCATCTTCACTTATATGATAATAATAATGCAATAAATCCGTCGTACCACGCTTAAAGTAAAAGTGGCGATGAATTAATTACACAGTGGGTACAAGCTAAGGGAAGCATGTTTGTTTGTCTTTAATACTAATTTAGCGGTGGCAACTGGATCGAATTTGTGGATTCATTAATTGAGCTCATGATCAATAAGGGAATTTGTGGATCGAATTGAATGAATTTGTGAATTGGATACAGTGGAGGTTTGTGAATTATATGGTTAAAAATTGAAAGAAAACTTAGGTAGAGTCTCCCAAGTGTATTTTTTATTGAATGATGAGAATTTTATACAAAACAAACCAATCCATGAAACCAATAATACAAAAGTTAAAACCAAAAGGCCAACAACTCAATCAGTAGTAGAGCAAGCAAGAAACGACATAAAAAAACAAAACAAAATTAAGCAATGGAAAAACAACCAACTCGAGAACAAAGAGAAGAAAGAAAGTGAGGGTCAAATGAGGTGCTTCGTCCCGATCGCCATCCACTGGTGGAAGAGTCTATCAGAGATGCAACAAAAAGCTTGTAACCATCATCCAACCATAACAACAATCTTCTGACCGATCTCTTTTGGGTAGGACTCCACATCTCTAAAAATCCTATTGTTTCTCTCCAACCAAATGTACCAACACACTACATGGGGAAATAACTTGATGTAGTCTCTGAACCGTGGGTCATACACCACAAGCCTCGCCAAGCTATGAGGAATTGGCGAATGAAAGGAAGGCAAGGACTATGAAGATCAAAAGTTCTTTTGAAGTTTTCCCAAATGGCAATTGCAAATGGACATGAGAAAAAGAGATGGGAAATCGATTCCTCATGTTGTTTGCAAAGAGAGCACCAATTCGGAAGAATCATCCCTTTTTTCTCAAGTTATCCACAATAGCAATCTTCTCACGAGAGACCATCCAAAGGAAGCATCATATTTTTTAGGGCACACAAGGATTCCACACCAACTTGAAAGGGAAAGCAATGTCACCCCAAAGTTACTCTCAATAAGGTTTGTAGCAAAAGAATGTACCGAGAAGACCACATATGCCTCTAAGGGCCATACCAAACATGCAGGCCCAGTGGTAATCCAAAGTTGAGGAAGAACATTCAAAGTTTGCATCAAAAGTACACGTTTGGCTTCAACTTCACCCCTCAGAGATATAGTGAAAGGAATCTCCCAAGACCTATCAACCATAGAAAACATGTCAGACACAAAGGCATCCAATGATTGAGCTACGAACCCAACCCTTGAGAAATCACTCAACAAAAGTTTCCCTGGAACCCGAAAATCATGTCAAAAAGACACCCCAAAACCACCCCCAGGATCGACATAGGCAACCTTCTAAAAGTAAGAGCTTTCATTAACAATTGTCAGCCACACAGAACAACCATACACTCCCAAATTCCAACATGATCTCCATTCGGACCTACCTTGTCTAAACTTTGCAACAATAAATCTCTTCCATCATGCATCCCTCTCAACCCCAAATCTCCAAGCCCATTTCCCCAACAAAGCTCGATTCATACACCTGAGATCCAAGACTTCCAAGTTGCCTCTAGTGATTGGAGTTTTTACAATATCCCATTTCACTCAATGCAACCGTTTTGTCCCAAACACCCCTGACCACAGGAGCTGCTCTGGAATCCAATGGCAATCCTAAGTAGGTAGTTGGAAGAGAACTCAACTCACATCCAAAAATGTCTGCATAACGTGATGGATTCTCAACCTCCCTAAAAACCATCATGGAACTCTTATGTAAGTTCACTCGTATACCCGGAATTATTTCAAAGAGAGCTAAGGCCATGAGAAGATAGCAAACTTGGCCTTCAGATGCATCGCAAAATAACAATGTATCAGCATAAAGAATATGAGTGACCTCCCCCATTCTCAATTCTTCATTCATAGAGAATCCCTCAAACCAAACCACGAGAATGCAAAGTCCTCAAAGTACCAAAGAGAAGCTCCATCACCAGGATCAAAAGAAAGAGAGTCTTCTTGTCTTAGACCTCTTTTGCTTTAGAAGTAACCAGAAGCTTCCCCATTCACAAGAACAGAGAATGAAGCAGCGGTGATGCACCCCGAAATCCACCTAATCCAAAGTGGGGAGAAACCCATACTCTTCATTACAATAAAGAGGCACTCCCAATTTACATGATCATATGTCTTCTCGATATCCAATTTATAAACTAATCCTAGTTTTCCAGCTCGCTTCCTAGGTTCAATGAGCCATTTGCGATAAGCGTCGCATCTAAGATCTGCCGACCACCCACAAGTGCATGTTTCCACCACCACCAAGCCTCCCTTGAAAACTTTTAATCTTTCCATAAGCACCTTTTAAAGAATCTTTTATAGGCTTGATACCAAACTAATAGGTCTAAGATCCCTAATATCACTTATAGCTTCTTTTTTTCGGATAAGACACAAGAATGTGTGATGAACACTCTTTGGGAGAATCCTAGTCACATAGAACTTTTTTAAAACATTCACCACATCAGGTCCTGGTGCATGTTCTCCTTTACTTTTCTTAATCACGCTCCACTAGGGGTGGTATTCGGTCGGTAAACGGTAAACTGTTTACCGAATTTACCGGTTTCGGTATACCGACAGTGACTAAATTGGAATCGATTACCGATACCGGTTTGTAACCGGTTTACCGATTACCGAATTACCGGTAAACGGTTACAAACCGGTAATACCGAAATACCGTGAGAAGCAGCCTCGGGCGGCGGGGAAGCCGGAAGGTGGCGGAGATGGCTGGGTCGCTGGGTAGGGGTTTTCCTAGGGACGAACGAAAATGACATCCTCTGCTCTCAACTTCGTCGCCGTCAACCCAAAGCTCCAGCAATCCCCTAAACCCACTCCACCCTCCACAGATTCACCACCGCCAAAAGATTCCCCTCCTCCCTCCGTCCAATCAAAGCCTCCATATTCAACAAATCCCCACTCTCCTCCATCCCAGGTTTGACCAAGCCGTCCCCCGTCATCGTCCCCTGAATCCATTCTCCCAACCCGATAGATTTCGGGCGACTATGGCCTCCCTGGAGTCGGACCCATCCAAGACCGCCTCGATTACTTCTACAACCAAGGCCGCAACGAGTTCTTCAAATCCCGAATGCAGAAGTACCAGTCAACGGTCTACCGAGTCAACATGCCCCCGGGGCCTTTCATCGCCACCAACCCTCGCGTCATCGTCCTGCTCGACGGGAAAAGCTTCCCCGTCCTCTTCGATTTGTCCAAAGTCGAGAAGAAGGATCTCTTCACTGGAACCTGCATGCCCTCCACGGATCTCACCGGAGGGTACCGAATCTTGTCCTACCTTTGGGAGGGCCAAGCAAAATGCAGCGCAGAGGAAGAGAGGATTTCGGTATCGGTATTACCGACTTACCGTCGGTATTTACCGATACCGTGTCCGGTAAACCGAGTCGCCCAAGTTCCCGCTCGGCTGCCGATACCGCCGGTAAACGGTGCCGGTTACCGGTACGGTAAAACGGTAAACCGTTTACCGGCTCGGTAAAACGGTAAACCGTTTACCGGCTTACCGTTTACCACCCCTACCCTCCACACTTCCTCTTCATCAAATGTTCTCACCAAAAATTCTGTTGCATGCGGTGGAAGAGACGGAAACACAATACCAAAGGGAAAAGGCCTTCTAGGAAATGCCTCTTGAAAGATAGTCTCATAATAGGACACAATAGCACCCGCCAATTGATCTTGACCCGAGCAAAGAATGACATTCACCCAAATATTATGCAAACAATTCTTCATCTGATTAAAGTTAGCAACCTTGTGGAAATTAGGAAGTATTTTTATCCCTAAACTTGAGCCAAGTATCTCTAGATTTTTTACGCCGTGAAATTTTCTTTCTCTTCCACAATCGATCCAAATGAAACTTCAACATATCCCGCTGCACTTTTTCTTCCTCTGACCAAACTCCAGCTTCTTCTAACAAATCAAAGTCTACAATATATTGAAGAGTGAAGCTGATTTCCTGATCGACATGCTTGAAGACCTCTGTATTCCACTTCTTAATGTGAGCTTTCATCTTCCTTAGCTTCTTTGCACACCTGAAGAAATCCCCAAATCCCTCAATCTCATCAACCCACCAATTGCATAACTGACCCTCAAAATCCTCATGGTCATCCCACATAAACTCATATCTCCAGGGTCGATGAATAACCTGCTCCTCTCCACAAGACAACAAAAGAGCACAATGATCAGAACTCACTCTAACAAATAATTTCAAAAAACATTGAGGAAAATCACTCTCCCAATCAGAAGAGACCAACAATACCCTATCCAAGCGAGATAATGAAGGGTTTGAATGTTGATTTGACCACGTGAACTGATATTCAAACATAGGGAGATTCATGAGGGCGTGCTCTTAAATAAAATCATTAAACATTGCCATATCTACAGGGTTTCTTGGACCCCCCACAACATCATCTTGAGACCCTACCACATTAAAATCTCCCATGACACAAGTAGGAAATAACCACCAAGATAAACACGATGTCAATTCATCAAAGAAAGCCCGATGCTCACTACTATCATTAGGTCCATACACATTAATCAACACCCACTTAAAACCATTATCTCTGTATGTAAACACTGTCACCAATCAAAACCTCCCCACCCAATGACATTATAGATCAAACACCAGATTATCCCAAGCAACCAAAAGACCAACTGAGAGACCAGCCGATGGTTTGTCAACCCAACCCATTCCATAGCGACCACCAAGTACCCCAACGATAGAATCCGTGCAACGTTCAAGTTTTGTTTCTTGGAAGCAAAAAATTGAAGGTCGAATAGGAGCAAGAAAATATATGATGGAATATTTTTTCTCTAAATTCCTTAAACCTCTAACATTCCACGACACCAATTTA